GGGGGCACAGAAGGGAATTGGTGAGGGTTTATTCACCAAGGCGCCCCTGGGGGTTACAAGAAATAATGGCCACAAGCTAGCAGAGAGCAGATTTAGATTGGACATTAGGAGGAACTTCTTCACAGTTCGAGTGGCCAAGGTCTGGAATGGGCTCCCAAGGGAGGTGGTGCTCTCCCCTACCCTGGGGGTCTTCAAGAGGAGGTTGGATATGCATCTAACTGGGGTCATCTAGCCCAAGCTCCCTTTCCTGCCTATGCAGGGGGTCGGACTCGATGATCTATTGAGGTCCCTTCCGACCCTAACATCTATGAATCTATGATGACTTCCTTTGATTTGCAAGGGACACTCCTGTTAATACAAATCAGTGTGCTATTAGCATTTTTTGCAACAAGAGCACATTGTTCACTCATATTCAGATTATGGTAATGCCCAGGTCCTTCTCTGCAGTTGGTGCATGGACATTTTATGTGGGGACCTGATTCTCGCTTGGGCCAGGGCTGGGCAGTGGGCTTGGTCTGGCATGCGCAGCACTGAGGTCTGGTCCTGCATGGTGGTGGGGCCCCATGCAGGCTGACGGGGCAGCCTTGGCATGACTGTAGAGTACTGGAGTCCTGACGGTCAGTTCTGTGCCAGGCGGCCAGCGCAGAAACACCGCCAGAAAGCGCCTCCCCCGCCCCTCACCTGGAAGCTGCTTCTCAGGCAGCTTTTCCTCTTAATGGGACAGGTACACCCCAGTGCCCTGTCACAGAGACCCATTCACAAAGATTGCCCTCTTCCCACCCTGAGCCCAGCTCTCACCTGCAGAGGCTACAGCCTCCCTTCTGCTCTGCATGTCTTTTGATGACATGGTTTTCAAGATGATAATAGTTCTTATAATGGGTCCCAGTGCACACCCCATGCTTAGCTAAGGTTAACCGCTTATTAGATGATTGCCTCCACCTTTCAATAGCACACTGCCCTCCAACCCCCAAGCAGGCGGGCAATCAGAATGAGTAAACCATATCCTAAAGCAGTAACTAAGATGCTTTGGGAGTTATCAGGACTATTAGTCCTGCCTGAACAGGCATGCAGCAATGTGGAAAATGCCTCAATGGGAGCTAGTTCTCTTTTTTTTGTTAACTGATAGGCTTCATCTCTGTTTCCACCACACAGCACCTTTCTCCTGACTGGTTACTGTGGTGCTGGATTTCCTCAAGACCATTCACCAAGTCCAAGCCAACCTAAAGGCTGCTAAGACTGCCTATAAAAAGAAACAGGAAGACCGGCAACATCAAAAAGTTCCTTTGTTCGCAGTAGGTCAGTGTCTCTAGTTATGTTCAGTAAACAGAAGAGCAATCAAGAGTTATCAGAAAAAGAAAGAAAAATTTACTTTATTATTCTACAACAATTTAATGTGATGGATAGGACACCGCATTTGCTGTTTCTCTCTCCCTCCTCTGCCCGATGAGGTTTAATTGCGTGTTTTGGCCAGGTGTAGTAAGTCCTGCTGTTTGGAGAACTGATCTCATTGTGCCCCAATACCTCAGAGGAAGGCGAAAAAACCCCCACAGCCAGTATGATCTTCAAGGGGAACGGGGGGAAAAATTCCTTCCTGGCCCCAACTGGTGACCGGCAAAAGCCCTGAGGCCTGGGATTGCAAAATGCCACACACACTGCAAGAGCTACCTGGATCCCACAACTAAGGGACCAGAAATTAATGATGCCCGTTCCTTGCCCCCCACTTCTTAGATGATTGCCTCCAGCTTTCAACAGCACACTGCCCTCCAACCCCCAAGCAGACGGCAATCAGAATGAGTAAACCAGATCCTAAAGCAGTAACTAAGATGCTTTGGGAGTTATCAGGACTATTAGTCCTGCCTGAACAGCATGCAGCAATGTGGAACATGCCTCAATGGGAGCCAGTTGTCTTTTCTTTAGTAACTGATGGGCTTCATCTGTTTCTAACACACAGCCCCTTTCTCCTGACCGGTTATTGTGGTGCTGGACCTCCTCAAGACCATTCACCAAGTCCAAGCCAACCTAAAGGCCGCTAGGACTGCCTATAAAAAGAAACAGGAAGATCGGCGGCATCACGAAGTTCCTTTGTTGGCAGTTGTCTCTCTGGGGGAAGGCTAGCTCTGACTGATTCAAGGGGTGTTCACATCAGTCGATGACCCTAGCGTGGTGGCTGATTCCGGGCTGGAGGTTCCCTCTGGGGCCGTCTTGCTGCCTGTGAGGCTCTGGATGGTGCATTGGCTCAGGGAGGTGCTGTCAGCCTAGCTGTTGGTTGAAGCTGTAACCATAAGGGATGAGAAAAAGCAAAGGGTGATCACATATGCACGTTGGTGAATTTAAGTCTTCTAAACAGAAGACTTAATGGTGATGAGCTGTATGGCTGCCTTGTGCTTGAGCCATAGTCTAACGCCTAAATTGTTTCAGCAGTCATTAGGATGAGGCAGATCTGTTTTCTAGCCCCGTTCATCCATGGGGAGATGAACACACACTGCCTGGTGTGTAGGGCAGGTGGGGAGGAAATGGGCCCTGGCAATGGCAGGAGGAGAAGGGAATGGGGCCCAGTGGAGAGGTGATGCCAGGCCGGGTGTCTTTGGGGACAGAGGGGACAACTCCCCACACACCAAAGGGAGAAGGTTTGTGTTGGTGCCGTGAGGCTCCGTCTTTCTTTCCACAGGACCCTGATCCGCAGGGGCAGAGGAGAGGGGACGGTACCTGCAGAAGGGAACTTGGGCTGCTGCAGAGGGGAGGGGGTGCTGGAGGAGCTTGCCAGCAGGCTGTGGCCCTGGAGCTCTCTGGGCAGCTGTCTGAAGCCCTTCGTGACCAGCAGCTTTCTCATGATCCTGGCGGGGATTTCTTCTTCCTGTGAAGGTCCAAGAGCCAGTGAGAGACTCTTTTGCCTCCGGGAGGTGGTAGCCACAAGATTGTCACAGCAGCAGAAAACAGCAGAGTTTACCTAGCCCCTCCCCGTCTCTAAGAGACGGATCAAGCACAACTTCTAAGACAGACTCTTTTAGGCTGCTTGAGACAGGGACGATCCTTCTTGGAGCAGGGGTCGACCTAGAAGAGTGGCTGAGGGGCTTACTCTTCTATGACTACATAGCCCTGGTCCAGTTGCGGTGACCTGAGGCCATGAAGGGGCCCTGCCCTTAACCTAGGCAGTGGCAGTTTCTCCTGATGGAGATGTACATGCTGTCACAGGTGCTGGCTGGAGCTCCACAGCTGAAGGGGCCGTATTTGTGCAGGGGACAGGCTGGTGCCATCCTGAGCATACAGCTGAACAAACTCATTTCTCAGCAGCACTTGCCAGGGTTCCCATTTCCTTTCACACTTGTTTCCCCAGGCCACCATGTGTCTATGGGAAGATGTGGCTTAGAGGTGAGGTGCCCTGTGCACCTCCACCCACTCCCTAAGTCCGACCCTCTGCTTACCTTGTCCCCGATCAGGTGGCTGGCTTCCCCCAGGATGGCATAGAGGAGGACCAGCGCAGCACGGCTGACACACGTTGATGTCCAGCACCCCCAGAAGTGCCCTCTGCACGAAATATCTCCTTTGCCCCTCTGATAAGATCTTTTGAAACACCTGAAACCCAGGGGGAAGAAATTGTTTGCATATCCCAGAGCCAGGCTCCATGGCCAGGCCAGCCCCTCACCAGGGCAGTAGGAGAAACCTTGTGAGCTGCAGAGAAGCAGTAGGCCTTTCTCCACAACCCTGGACCCAGCCACTCTATTGACATTCAGCCCCACACCCTAAGCTTTGCCAGGGCTGGGCAGCGCATCCTTACCTCCCCGACTTGGGCCAGGTCCATGTAGCTCTGCACCTGGCTCTGCTGTTCCCGGCTTAGATGGAGAAGCCCCTCTGCCTCCTGCATGTCTCGGCCTAGGACACACAGAAAGATCTTACTCTGAGCTGGCATTGTGGCTTCAGTGCTTAGTCTGTGCACAGTGGCGCCAACACTGCCCCCATGGCATCATGCGCACAGGGCCCTGGCAGGGCTTCATTTTCCTGAGTCATAAGTGGTGATTCAGTCTCCCTAGGTATCCTGTGCCGTTTACATTCTGGGGGCTCTGGGACTGGCTGCCTGGTTTAGACAGGGTCAAATATGGGAAATGTCTGCACCCAGTCAAGGCAAGCGCTGCTCCAAGTTACTTCCCTGGCAACACCCCTAGGCTCTTTCTTGTGGTCTGTGCTACTGCTCCTGCCCAGCCTGGGGCTCTTTCCCACCATGTCTCTCCCAGCATCTTTCCTTTCCCCACATTCAAGGTCAGACCCTGAACATGCTGATTTTTCTAGCCTGAGGCCAAGCTGGGCTCTGGAGTGAAAGGGCTGGTGTACATTTGAACACTAATCTGGTTGTGGGCAAACATTGGCAGGGGAAGCTTCTTGTCCCTTAGCTGGGATCAGTGTGTGGACAGAAGGATTGTTTCTATAGGGGTCTTGCACCCTGTCTGGGCTGCCTTACCCTTGTGGTGCAGCAGGATTTGGGCGAGCAGGTAGATGCCCTCCCTGGCCTGGCAGCTGATGTCTGCTGCTGGGTGACTGAGGGACAGACTCAGCTGGGCCACGGTGTCACCCATCTGGGGCATGTCGGGCGAGTCCTAACAAGGCGGAGAGGGGGAGGGAATGCATCTGCATCCTGAGGGGGAGGGAATGCATCTGCGTCCTACCTTGCATCATACATACTCTTCCCCAGCCTGGGTGTCTCTGTCCATCTCCTCCTGCTTCCCCATGCCACAGGATAGGTCAGGGCAAAACAGCTAGAGCCAGAGCATTAAAGCCCTCTGTTCCCATCACAGCCTGGAGCCAAGGGACCCAAGCTGGTTCCCTGGAGGTCTCCCTGCCCTGCTGCTCCAGGAAGACCAGGACCAAATGTGACACTGCCCAGAGCAGGGTGATCTCATGGCAGTCTCAATAGACCCAGGAGGTACCCCTGAGCCCAGGGACCCCTTACCTCAAACTGTGGGAGGAGGGAAACAGCAAAGCGGAGAAGGGCGCTGCTGCTCCTCATGGCCTTCGCCCTGTCTATGACGTTGGGAGACTGCAGCCAGGATGTCAGGTGCTGTGGGAGAAACAAGGTCAATGGCCACTGGCCCCTGCAGTACCCACGAGCCCATGCCCTTCCTCTGCCTCGAGCCTATCTTGGAGGTTGGAGGATCTGCTGCATGGTCCGAGGCTCTGAAAAGGGCTCTCCAGGCCTGTTGCAGACAATGCACATCCCTCATGACAAACCTGTCTCTCTCCTGACAGGGCAGGGATGTATCCCTGAGGACAACCTTGGGCAGCTCACAGGGCACTGAGGCTGTCCCTCCCTAGAGCCCAGCACCTCCGCACTGTGCTCATCTCCCAAAGGAACTGCAGCCTGCCCAAGCTGGGTGCGATGGCCAACAGGCTCCTCAGCATGGCCTCCAGGTCCTCCATGTGCTTCTGCTGTTTGGTCTGGAGGGGAAGGATAACTGAGGCTCAGTACCATGCAGCCCGGGGCTGCACCTGCCAGGGTCTGGTGGGCAGGACTGTGTAGGGGGAGGAGGACTGACCCTGACATAAAGGCTGTTCTGTTTTGGGGACGTCAGGCAGATCTTCAGGGTGGTCTGCAGCAGGCACGACTCCATGGCTGGCTCCAGGGCTGGCTTCAGCTTGCTGTTAGGAGAGAGGAGTCTGTGTGAGCCAGAGCTCTGAGGGGCTGGTGGGGGCACTGCTCTGGGCTGGACAGAGGTGGTGGAGTCAGCACCAGGTGGCAACAGTGAAGCAGGAGATGACAGGTGGTTATGACCCGTCTGAAGTCTCCCAGCCCATCAGCATCAGGCCTGCAATAGAGCCCCCTCTCCCGCTGCCCCTGTGACCCTGCTGCCCTCCTCCAAGACCCCCACAGCTATCCTCTCTTCAAGGCCGTCCTGACACCCCTGGAGGGAAATACCTCTCCAGCCAGGAGAAAGAGATGCCCCTGCTCTTTTGCAAAAATGTACGATGGCCACTGGGGCTATGTGATTTGGGTGGGGTGGGCGAGTAACTCTGACCAAGGCCAGAGGCAATATCAGGGCTGGAAGTGTTGGGCAGGGGCACCAGTACCTGAGGCTGCCGATGGCAGCCACGCTGTAGCACAGGGGCCTATTTGGCTCTTCATCCTGTGTCGCTGTTTCCATCAGGCCCTGGGAGACCCAAAGATGATGTGAGATTAGGGCCACACAGGTCACAGGCCCGTCCTGCAGGGGAGACCACCCAGTGCTCCAGGCACAGGCAGATGGATCGTGCTCGCTATGGCAGGACCCCTCCCACATTTCCCTTGCACCCACGCAACCAACATGGCCAGCCTTCCCCTTCCAACTCCCTCTCACACATACCCCTGGACCCAACTGCTCACACCCTGATCCCACCTCAGCTGCCTTCCAGATGCAGGATTCACTCACTGTCCTTTATGGCTTTAGCCCAGAATTTCCCTTTCCTGTGCTCCCACGTCAAGGCCCGGGCATACCTGCCCTCCCCTGTGTGCGCCCTGCCTTCCTGGCCTGGGGAGCCCCTGTCTCTTCTCCCTCATACTCCCCACAGTGCCCAGTGCTTGGCCAGGCTCACCATGATCTTCTGTAGCAGGACCACTTTGCAGGTCTCCGGCTCCAGGGTGTCCTCTCCCCTCTGCTTGGTGGCTCTGCAGAGTGTGGGGATGCCGAGAAGGAAGCGCTCTCCATGCTGCTTGTCCTGCATCCTCCCGGAGCGGGATAGGAGGAAAGACAGGGTGTTGGCCAGGGACCTTCCCATCCTCCCCAATTAAATGTGGGACTAAGACCCCTTGGATGCCCCCCTTTCCTTGCACTGGTCTCTTGCTGGGGAAACAGAGTGAGAAGTAGAGGCAGCATCTGTGATGGATGTGTCAGAGCCCGTGGGCTGAGTGTCTCCACTGGGGAGACCTGGGTCCACATGGTATGACTGCCGTAAAGGCTGAATGTTGGGAGTCAAGGGTGGTCTGGGGGCCAGTTCCCTTAGGGGACTTTCCTACCTTTCCTTGGCCCTGGAGGTGCAGTATAATGTCTGTGAGGGCTTCTTCCTCCAGCAGAATCAGGTCTTCACCCTCCTGCTCTTCCTCCACCTCCTCGCCTGGCCAGTAGGG